AGATTGGGGACAGTATTCACGTATAAAATTACAGATATCTCACTTTGGCATGTACAATGATTGTGTATATGACTAATAATATTTTGTGTATAGTGATTTATCATTGTCAAAGCATGTTTACATACAGTGCTATGAGTTGGAGAGGCTCAGGCCCAAAGCAGATAAATAAAGCACTGAACCTAAAATCCCAATCTTTAAAATATGAGCTTTCCCCAGCACATCCCATTATACCATTTATCCATAGTGCTTGAAGTTACTATATTATTTGATGTATCAGGACTTCCCAGAACTATATCAAATCTCTTTTTCTTCATCAGACAAAATCCTGACGAGAGGAGAGAAGCTGGAAGGCTGCGGACTGCTACTGAAGAAGATAATGGCTATCCTCATTAAGAGGTTCCACCACACGCGCAGGAACTGGAAAGGCTTTATCGCTCAGGTTATCCTCCCCATCGTCTTCGTGATGACCGCCATGGGCCTTGGCACACTGAGGAATTCTGGCAACAGTTATCCAGAGGTCCAGATCTCCCCATCTCTTTATGGTACCTCTGAACAGACAGCCTTCTACGCGTAAGTTTCTTTCCTTTAACTAAGACGACATCCCCACAGTGCTTCCAGAGGTGCGCTTTTACCTGAATGACTATCATGGAATGCTAAACGAGAACTTAGGAGCCACAGTGCTTAATGCTGCCAAAGGAATGGACAGTTTGATTTATTGTGACATGGCACTTCTATTGCCGACAAATACCTTTTAAAGTGTTTTCTGTCTAAAACTAAAGTTATAGTAGATCTTTATTTTTAAGGACTAGACTTGAATCAAGAAAGCCAGGTTAGGTAGGGCTTCCAAAGCGATTGTAATATATAGCAAATAACTTTTTTATTGGTCTCACCAATATTGAAAAATTAATGTCAGAATTCCTTATAATATAATTTTATATACACAACAGGTGATTACTCAATGCATGTGACAAGCAGGAAAATACTAAGGCAGCTAAGATGTGTGCTTATTTTTGTGTGACACTTTTTTTTTGCCCCCTGAGACTAAGCCTTTCTTACATTTTTAAGAAAACAGTCCTACACAGAGCATGTTTCATTCCTTCAAATGATTCATGAGCATGAGTTTCATATGGGAGACTCGTGAAGGAGTCACGAATTTGTTTCTATCCTTTAATGTTACAGGAATTCGAACCCAAGAACAAATGCACTGGTCTCAGCAATGTGGGCCTTCCCTGGCATCGACAACGTGTGTTTGAACCTCAGTGACCCGTAAGTGGCACTTGTTCTCTTTCTTTGTTTCAACATTCCATTCTGTGTGTATGTGTGTGAGGTGTGTGGATGAGTGGATGTGTGTTATTTGGCTGGAGGAGGGCAGTACCCTGATAGAAATCTGTGTTTAACAAATTTTCTCTATCTTCTTGAGTTCATTCCCTGGCTATCCTTTACTGCCATAATAAACATTGGGTGCTTTATAACTTGTAAAGTTCTTTTGTGTACATATTTTTATTTAACAATCACAACAACCCTGTGAATTATTAATCCCATTTTTAAGATGAGGAAAGTGAGGCTCATAGAGATGAAGATTCCTGTATAAAGTAATTTAGGTAGGAAGTTGGATAGCTAAAGCTGAAACACAAGTCTTGACCCCAATTCCCATGCTTTTACAAGATGTAGTGTTGCTTATTCAAACTTCCAAGATAGTGCATAACGTATGCAAACCCAACGTTAGTGCATCATTTTGCTAAAGTATCCCCTTCCTGTTCGAGGAGAGAATGAAAAGAGCAAAGAGAAGAGAGGAGTCAAAAAGTCCCATCCTGCCATAGTAAGACAATTCAATGAGCTTTGATTGCAGCACCATTTAATCACTAAGTGCTCTCCCTCAACTCCCCATAAAATGTCAGATCCTTTGAAAATGATAGTGCAATGTATATTCAAGTTATGAAAAATCAGTAAATTGTACCTAGGACTACAATAGGAATTTAATACAAAATGGTCACTTCTATGATTATACATAAATATGAGAATGCACACACACCTCACTTCCATATTATTTTTACTTGCAGGAGGTGTTTAAAGAAAAACAGTTTGGGAAAATGGAACACCAGTGGAGAACGTATCACTAATTTTGGTGTTTGCTCCTGCTCAGAAAATGTCCAGGTAAGATGGAATTCAGTTTCAGTGAAGTAGGAAAAAGAAAGGAATAAATATCAAAACTTGACAGATCTATCTAGGTTACCAAAGAGCCAGTATAATTTCATTTTATGGAAGCTAGTAGCTCAGAGATGTGGACCCGGGCAGCTCAAAAATATTGGCTTTGAACTTCAGGTCGCTGTTGTAAATCCATCTCAGGACAAATATCTAAAGGTAGGTAATTCTATGATGGTCTTTGTGAAAACTAACTGAAGATGAATTTTTGGTTCCAGTTCAGTTTTAACCAGAAAGCTCTATGTTTCATACAGCAAAATGCCACCATAACTGTCATATTCGAAAACATAGTGAGACTGCCACTGTAGTGGTCAGCTGGGAAGTCAGTAGTGTGTACAAGTAAGTCCAGAACAGAACTCAAGATGTCTCTAAGCAACACTTCCAGGATGCAAGAAAAATCTATGTCCTGAAAGAAGTAGAAAAGATGGTCCACTTGTCACTTACCCTGTCTGTATTCTATATACACCTTAGTTTTCTAGGCCTATTAATTCAATAAGCTTTTAAGAAAACCAAATTCATTGGGAAAAATTAAAGATAGCTGAAGAAAAAAGGTCACTATTAGTTTCTGAGAGTCACTATGTTGTCAACTTACTTCCCCATGGGGAAGAATCTAGCAATATTTTCTTCAAAATGTCATATGAGTGTACCCTACACTGTCTTGGTACAATATTTCAGAATGAAAATGTTTTCAGTAAATACAACTTATTTTTTTGTTTTCATGAGAGACAGTTACTAACAATAATGGTCTGGTATTCAGCAGTTACCTTTTAGAATCCTTGCATATTTAAATATTAGTCTTACCCAGTACTTAAAGAGTTTTCTAATTTCTCATCTAATCTAGTGAATTTATGAAGTTCTTTGCACATTTTGTTCAGCTTACAGTAAAAGGCAACTAACAGTATTTAAAATTGGAATCTGGATACATTTTTTTAATTAGAAAAACTCCAATAGATTAAAAATTTTAGCCTAATACTCTACTGATAAGAATCTAAATTTGTGTAGACAGTTTTTAAAACTGTTTGACAGTATCTACTAATGCTGAAGATATACATGCCAGATGGGATCAGCAATTCCATTCCTATTATACACGCATGAGAAATGTGAATAGGTTCACCAAGAGACATACACTAAAATATTTATAACAATACTATTCATAATAACCACTCAAATTCCCACTAACAGTAGAGTAGATAAATTGAATGTAATATATTTCCACAATGAAATTCTGTATACAGCAAAATGGAAATGATTGATCTGTAACTAGGCGCATCATGTTGGAAGATTCTCACAAACAAATAATGAGTAAAAAAAAAA